ATTTTTTGATTAGCTCTATGCCAGTCAGGAATGTTTTAATCGAAAATACAGCCAAATTAGGCTTATAAATCAAGACAGGCCAGGCCAAAGCTTGCAAATGTTAACAGAAACTGATAAACTCGAGAGCCTTTTATGGGCCAGTCAAGTCCAAGGTTCAGATACTGTAAAAACTCTAATAGAAGCACATAGGCTTGTATTTTTTTCAAAATCAGCCAGCAGAAAAAGTAGGTAACGTCTCGCACATGAATCGGAAATTTATTTTTTATAAAAATCACTTTACGTAATAGCCCTTGGTCTAAAACGTACAAAAAACGCATATAATAATAAATAATTTTCTTACCCGGGCCTCATAGAAAATTTCCCGACAAGAATTCCTGTGCTCCCCCACATTAAATTTTTAAATTTTTCGAAAATGGTGGTATAAATTTTACTGCTGATTCCAAATTCATCACTTTTATGCTCAGATCTTTCTATATCTTTCTATCGATCTTTCTTTCTATACTTTCTCTCTCAGATCTTTTGTCCCATCACATGATTGGACAAAAGTCAATATTTCAAGGGGTCAGAGTGGTGGGCTTCTATTAGAGTTTTTACGGTAATTTACCTCCACAACTCTTAGTTGGCATTTTAGCTTGTCTAGCATAATTAACTACATGTTTTTAAAACTTTTTGAGACCTAAATCTTAATAGTTTTTGACCCTTAACAAAGGACGTACTCGATTCGCATTCAACGCCCAAGTTTGACTCTCAAAAAACCAGGTCCAAATGGATATATCCGCAACAAAGAACAAGATTAGAAGAGCTCGGATCGACCACTTTTTGAATAAGGGAATCAGATGAAATCTAAAGGATTTTGGTAGAAAAACTTTAAGCATTTAACTTGCCTGCAGACAACAATATATCGATAGAGAAAGTGAAAAACGATGAGTGCAAGCTGTTTGTTGTATAGGATACACCAATATAGAAGAAGGCACTGAGAAAGGGTTGTTTTTCTATAAATTGTTGGACTCAACCTCTCCGACTTTCTGGCTAATGTGTGTGGCTAAAGGAGTTGCGATGAAGAAAGCGAAAGCGTAGCCATAAACATGAAGGCCCTAAAAGAATGAGTTCGTTTTCTAAAAAGCATCTATTGTATTTCAGAAAGCTATTTTAGAAAGCTAATCAAATTGTCAGTTTACGGTCGATCACGTTGATTTTGGTGTCATTGATTGAGCCTTATGAATCCTCATCGAATCATACCAAAATAGAGACAATTAGGTAACAAAAACAATCATAAGACATCAAACAAACAGTATCCTGCTGTTAGAGTCGCAGACTTCAATTTTCAATGAAAGCTGACACTTGGAATACGATAGTTTTATGGAAAAAGTGTCTTTTAGAAAACGGATTGGTTGAGAAGAATGCACTAGTTAGCTTTAAAAGGTAACTAGTGCATTCTTCCCATTAGAGATTATTTTTAAAGTTACCGGCATTAGAATGAGATGAAAAAGAGGGAAAATCACATTGAAAGTCGCAAAAAGCATCATCAAATATTTGTAGAAACCAAATTCAGGACGACTGAAATGGGTTTTTATCTTAAGTTTTCAAGTTCTTGTTACCTATATTTTGCTATAAGAAAAATTAGCCCAAGATTTGCTAATATCGAGCCCGAAGAAGAAAATAGCACAACAAAATGACTGGAATTCAGATGGCCAAGCATTTCTCACATAAGAATTCAATAGTTCAATAGGCCAAGCATTTTCAATAAAGATTTTGTTTCAATCAATGTCAAGATTTTATCTTTTATGTTTCGCAATGTATTTTTAGATACAAATGACGCTGACAACCAAATTCTAAAAGGCTCTTTTTGTTCTAAAAAGTCTGCCTGATTCTCTAGGGATTCGTTTTCTAAAAATGCTGATTGGTTCAGTGAAAAGTCTGATTATTAGTACGTTTAACAAATTGAAGAAACTACAAAAGAATTAAGAAATCAAGTAGATCAGAGTCTAACGGCATTGTGTCGAAAATGAAAGGAAACTGTTCGTTGAAAGGGATTTGTTTAAATCTTTGAACGTTTGTCATGGTTAGCACGATAGCTAAAGTGAATAACTTGGAGAACTATCACAATCTTTCTTTTGATATTGTCAGCTAAACTTAATTTTGATCTTGTTCAATTTACTGCTTGACTAGTAATCAGAATAAGATGATAATCACCGTCTATACTCTAATAGAAGAGCATGTTCTTCTATCTTCTTCTATTAGAGTTTTCTGTTTTTATGTTTTCTATTCTATCTTCTTCAAAATTTCTTCTATTAGAAACTTCTATTCTTCTGTTTTTCCAACGCTTTCCAAAATCAATGAAATAAATGGCTCCGCCAATTTCTTAAACTTATTTTTTTGCGGTAAAAATCATTTGCTCTGTTGGATTCTTTTAACATGATTTATTACGAAAGCCGTCTTTCTAAAGTCAATTTATTTAACGTACAAATAACAATAAATTAACAATTAGGTAACAAAAACAATCATAAGACATCAAACAAACAGTATCCTGCTGTTAGAGTCGGCGACTTCAATTAAGGCATCACCTCGTAGTTCTTGTTTTCCTTGTCTTCACCCAGGTCAATTTCGTTCATCAATTCGGCAATCATTTCGTCGTTTCAGTCGTTTTGTTTGAAGAGTAGAACTTGATGTCATTTTGCTTGCACAAATTCTTCGCTTTCTCTTGAATCAGTCTTCTTAAAACTTTATTTTTCAACGATCTCTCGCTTTCACCCCTTCGTCCAGTTCAAGATCGAGCTGCTTGTCCGTCAGATTTCTCTCTCAGCCTTTTACTCTTCTAAACGATTTCATCTTCCGCGATGTCCCTTTTTGTGACATCCATTTTTGAATCATAGCTCGGGTTACCCAAAACTGAAAAAACTTCTTCCTCGCATCGTTTCTTGAAATCTTTCTGGCATACTCGATTGCCTTCAGCTTGAAATCGATCGTATAAGCTTTTAGTTTCTTCCCTTTTAAGCTCCTGATCGAAAACATCCGCAGATTCTCGAGATTTGAATCTTTTTCGGCACCACATTTGCATTCTCCTTATGCTCTCGATTTTCCACGAAATTCTCGGGGTCGGCGAGTTCGCGAAGAATCCGATACTCCTCGACTGACTCCGAGCGAATCGGCAATCGATTACAAAACCTAAAAAAGCACATTTTTATGGCATTTTATAAAAAAACATAGAGAAGATAAAAATTGTAACTAGGTAGGTAGTTTCTAGGTTACAATTTTTTACTAGGTTACTACGTTACAACCTAGTTACAATTTTACCTAAATATCTAGTTTAAAATGTAGGTAAATATAGCCAAGTAGAATGATTAAAAAAATGTTAATGGGTAATGATTTTGGTAGAAAATTTAAAAGCAGATACGGTAGCACGGGCAAATTAGTGCATTTTATTAGTTGTGTTTCTTCTATTAGAGTAAATACGGAGGTAAATAAGGATCCGGTAGACTGGGTAATAGGGATTTTAGTAGAAATGGGATGAGGAAAGTGGATACTATGGATACGAATGGAATTGAACACGTCCTGAACTAGATAACTAATAATTTTTGAAGTTCAATTACTGTTATTTGATTCTCATAGCTCCAGGGTTACTCTAACAAAAGCTTCAAACATAAATGAAATGTTTTTCTTTTGAGAAACTTAAAATTCAAGCCAGGCTATAATCCGCTTTAGTCTCATCTCAGAAAACCATTGTGCACTAGTTCTTTCAAAATTCTTCTTTTCTAACAACCCAAGGCAATGATTCAAAAAGAATATCAAGTTTTCGAAAACTGCTGAATGAAGTACTTGAACTTTAGTAAGAATATTGAAGTATTTGTCAAAAATCTCAAAGCGGGAAACAAAGCCACAAAAACGATTCACCCCTGAAAAAGTAATAACAAAATTGGTGTTCTAAATGAAAGAATTCTTCAAAATGCCCAAAATCTAACTACATTCAGAATCTGTTTCCATTCCAAAAAGCTAAATGGCTTCAGTAATGGATTTTGAAACACTTTTTATTACAAAATTATTATAACCAGGTTTTTCCATCATCATAATCGGCGAATTTGTCGAATGTTCAAAAAAAATTTGTTTGTCTTCAAAAAAAAAAAAAAAAAAAAAAAAAAAAAAAAAAACAAATTAAAAATGAATCAGTTTTCCAAAATTCTTGTTTCAAAAACTTACCGAATCAAAAAAAACTATTGAAAATTTCGAAAAGAACTCTCCTCACCACCGCGAATTGCCTTTTTTAAAACCTGTCACTCAGTTGTCACCTTCAGGAATTGCCGAAAGTCTTGGGAAATTGGGATCAAGTAATGATAAGAAAGATGGACATGTCTCGAGATTTGATCTGAAATGAGTATAAATGTCGGTTGAATAGAGTGTTTCGGTACCAGTTCGGTCAGAGCCCTTTGTCTCTTCCTCAGAGAGATGAAACTGCTGGCTGCATTCGGCCTTTTGGCCATCGCCCTCGCTGCGTCCTCCCGTCAATGGGAAGAACGATCGTTCAACAAGGGAAACACCTACGAGTTCGAGTGGAAGGGACAGGTTCGTATTTGAGAGAATACTGTAGGAAAGAGGTAGGATCGGGGAGTATGGTAAGAGAGACTGTAATGGGGAAGGACAGTTTAGTCGATAGGGATCACTTAAATAGGATATAAGAAGCGGTACTATATTGGGTACCTAGAGAGAAAAGACAGGTTGGTGGATTGGATTGGAACAGGACCTAGAATTGGGTACTGTATATATAGGAGTACTGTAGTCGATACTTTAAAAGTTTTTGAACAGTTTTTGAGCCGCTTCTTTGAGAACCTCCCAAATGACTCGATTTCCTCAGCATCATTCATTTCCATCTCAATTTGCAGATCGTCTCGGGCGTGCCCGTGAAAGGATCCTCGTCTCATTCCCTTCAACAAATCCACTCAAAAGTCTTCATCACTGTCAACGAGAAACACTCGATTCTCCGTCTCGACAATGTCAAGCTTACCAATGGCCACAAGCAGCTCACCGAGCCACGCATCATCTCTGAGGTGGGGAAATGGGAAAGAAAGAGATGGGGAAATAGATTAGAGATCTACAATTGATTTCTAATCTCTACAATAACTGAGTATCTTTCCCAATGATGGTCCCCATTTCCAGGTGTCGCTCGAGGAGTCGCAATTGACCTCCGAGCAACGCGAGCAGATCAAGCTTCCAATCCGCTTCCGTTACCACCAAGGAATCATCTCTGAGGTGAGATTTGGCCAAAAGATTCGAATCCTAATCCTTTCCATTCCAATCATTCCCTTCTTCAGATCGTCTTCTCGGAGGAGGAATCCGCCTGGTCGGAGAACATCAAGCGCTCCATTCTCAACATGCTCCAAGTTCAAATGAGCCCACGCAAGACCCAAGAGGAGTACAACACGAAGACCGTCTCCAACAACAAGTTCTTCACCGTCACCGAGGTAGATTTGGATGAGGATGGAAAATGAGATTAATAGAACGATTTGATAGAAAGTTCCGATCTAATCGAGCCTTTTCACTTGATAAATCTCCAATCACAGCCCGAAATAGACTAGTACTTTGCTAGATTCTTACCTGGATACACAAGATTACAGTATTTCTAGATAATCAAGCACCTAGAGTCTGATCTAAAACATTCTTGAACTAGCCCTCAAACCCAAGTTCACCCTTTTCAGCGCACCCTCGAGGGTGAGTGCGAGGTCGCCTACACAATCGTCGAATCGGAGAAGAACCGCGAGGGAGAAAGAGATCACCAAGTCGCTCAACTTCGAGAAATGCCCCAAGCGTATTGATATCCGCTATGGACCCCGTTACTCCGCTGGTTTGTGTTAATCAAGAAATGGATATTCACCAATTATCTCCTTATTCAATACTCCTTTTCCAGAGTGCTCCATGTGTGAGGCCACCGATGCTCGCCCTGAATCTCAAACTGTCATCAGCTACAAGGTTCGCGGAGAGGATGAGGAGCGTTTCCTTATCACCGAGGTCGAGCTCAAGTCCGAGTGAGTATTTGGGATTGATCTAATCTAGGGTTTCCCACACTGATCATCCACCATTGATCCATTTCTTTTCCAGGTACGTCTTCTCCCCCTTCTCGAAGGGATCAAGAGATGCTCGCCACCTACGTCCACCAAAAGATGCGCCTTGTCAACATCAAGTCGGCTGAGCGTGTTGAGGAGCCCCGCAACGGAAAGAAGTCTTCCCTTCTCTACAACTACGAGATGGAATTGGCCCGTGAGAAGTTCTGGATGAACGGAGACGAGCAATCCTACACACTCACCGGATTCGCCGGAGTCCCCAAGAAGGAGCTCATGGACAAGTACATCCGCCTCACCCTTGCCTCGATGGAGGAGTCCGAGAAAGACGGAGTCACCCTTGAGACAAACCACAACTTTGCCCGCATCGTCGAGGTCTTCCGCATGTGCACTGAGCGTGAGGTGCAAGAGATCCACCGCCACTTCTGGGAAACCGAAGTCTATGCTGAGAAGATCGAGAAGGTTCGCGAGTTCCTCACCGATGCTCTCATTGCTGCCGGAACCAAGGTCACCATTGAGCACTTTGTTGAGAAATGCGAGAAGAAGGAAATCTCCCCAATCCGTGCCGCTATCGTCATCAAGGGACTCGTGAACACCCGTGTTCCATCCGAGAACATTGTCAACTCACTCTTGCGTTTGGTCAAGTCCAAGGTTTGCCGTGAGGAGCCAATTCTCCGCCAATCCGTCCTCCTCACCACCGGAGCTTTGATGAACGGTGTCTGCTCAAAGAAGGAGATCACCAAGGAATCGTGGGCCATCGAAATCGAAGGAGAGAAGGAATGCCGTCGTGAGCTCAAGACTGAATGGTTGAAGGAATGGGAAGCTCTCTTCGAATCGGCCACTTCCCGTTACGAGAAGGTCCTCGTCCTCAAGGCTGTTGCCAACTCTGCCCTTGATGTCTCCATTCATTTCCTTGAGAAGGTCATCTATGATCGTCGTCAACCACTCGTTGTCCGCCAAGCCGCCGTTGACTCTCTTCGCATGGTGGGTTTGACAATTAGAAGAGCTAACCAATCAGAAGATAATCAGAAACTAACCAACTTTAAAAAGAGCTACTCTAAGAAGCCTCTAGTCCCTTAAAATCTAGAATAACTTTTGGCAGATTGAAAGTCTAGATCAAAATTAGCCTCTGATTCTGGATGACAGCTCAAACTCTAGTTCAATTCTAGTAGTCTAATCTTGACCTATTAAACGAAAACACTTATCAATTCAACATCTAAGGATTGTACTTACACACAAATTCCAGCTCCGCGACCAGATGCCCCGCAAGGTGCAATCGGTGTGCCTTCCCCTCTTCAAATCTCTTCGCGAGCCAGTCCCACTCCGCGTCTCGGCCCTCTACCAACTTGTCCACTCCCGCCCCGAGCGTTCCCTTCTCGATCAAATCGTTCACCAACTCAACATCGAGCCATCCACCCAACTCCGCTCTTTCGGAGTCTCTCTTCTCCGCTCGTTCTCCGAGTCCAAGAAGAACCCATGTGAGACCAAGCTCGCCGAGGACATCAATGTCTCTCTTCGCATGCTCCGCTCTTCTCCACTCTCCACCTCCACCCATGTCCATCTCCCATGGTACTCTCGTCTCTTCGACTTCGGAATGACCATGGATGTTGCCTCAGTCTTCTCCAACGAGTCCGTTCTCCCACACGAACTTCTCGCCTCGGTCGACTCTGTCTTTGCCGGACAATGGAACAAACACCTCGTCCAAGTTGGACTCTTCCAAAATAACCTCGATCAAGTGCTCATCCCACTCCTCAAGAAACTCGAGAAAACCGAGACCGAGATCGTTCTCCGCGGACAACGCTCTTCCTCCAAGGCTCCACTCCGTGAGGCCCTCAAGGAACTCGTTCGTCAGATGAAGATCCAATCCCGCCAAAACGAGAATGGAGAGGATGCCTTCGGTATGCTCTACATCCGCTACAAGAACTTGGACTATGCTGTCCTTCCCGTTGAGGAGCAACTCATTGAGAAGATCGTCCGCTCTGATTCGTCGATCTCTTCATCCGAGATGATCCGCAAGATCGCCAAGGGATTCCGTTTCCAGGGAGTTCTCTCTGGATACGTCTACGAGCACGTCCGCATCGTCCCAACCACCCTTGGACTCCCACTCCAGGTACAGTAATCTTTTAGAGTTCCTAGATACAGTATTCTTAGACCTAATAGTCAGTTACCGGTACCATAATTCACTACGGATCGATAATATCCAAGAATTGACTTATAATCTTTTGCCTATGTCCGAATTTATCTCTTGGTATCAATAATCAACATTTAATCTGAATCCACCTATTCCTATAATTTCCAGGTCACCTCCAAGCTCCCAACCGTCGCCCACATCAAGGCCCACATCAAGGCTGAGATCTCCCCGAAGATGTCTCTCCGTGTCGAGATGGAGCCCTCGTTCGTCTCCACCCATGTCACCGAAATGACCGTCTTCTCCCCCGAGATGGACATCGGATCCCGTGTCTTCCACTCGATCCAATCAACTCTTCCAATCCACGGACAAGTCGAGTACAACGATGAGAAACAACAACTCAAGGCTGTCCTCCGTCTTCCCAAGGAGGAGAAACGTGTTCTCCTCGTCGAGTCTCGCCCAACCACTTTCGTCCGCTCATTCAACAACAAGCAAGTGCCAGTTCTTGAGGAGAAGACCATCCGTATTCCATCGTTCGAGAAGACCTCTGTCCACTACGAGAAATCCTACGGAGAGGAGCACTTCGGTCTCCGCACTGAGGTCATCGGATCCGTCCACCGCCACGCCTTCGACAGGAAGATCATCTTCGGAGAGAACCACGTCCAGGTAATGATGACAATGAGATAGACAAAGCAAAACTTCTAGCACGATGGTGATTGAGTCAAGTAGAGTTAGATTAGAAAAAGATGAGCTTAATTGATCAAAAACTGATCGAATAACAGGATCCCTATCTAGAAAGCTCTGAATAGTACACAAGACTTAAGCTAAACACAGTTCTAGATGCAAAAACTCTAATTTCCAGATTGTCCTTGTCCCCACCGCCGAGTCCGTGAAGGAGATCGTCCTCGAGGTTGAGCCCAAGTACACCAAGATGGCCTCATCCGAGTACGAGTCACCCCGCTACGATGAGATCTTCACTGAGAAGGAGTTCGGTTTGGAGACCTCTGACGAGTCTGAGGAGCGTGCTGATGAGCGTGTCTCTCGCCGCACCCACTCCAAGAAGCACTACGAGTCGATGAAATCGTTGAAGGGACATGAGGGACGCGTCAACTTCCGTCTTTACACCATCGGAGGACCAAAGACCATCAAGGGAGAGATGTCCGTGAAAGGATCGTGCGATGAGGAGATCAAGGTGTGCCGCTTCGATCTTCAATGCAAACGCTCGCCACTTCTCGAGAAGGAGCGCCGCGACTGGGAACTCCAAATGAGCGGAGAGCTCGTCTTCCCCGAATCCCCCAAGACCATCAAGGAGTTGAAGGAGATGCGCCACAAAGAAGTCGAGGGAACCCTCAAGTGTCGTTGGGGATCTGAGGACAAGAACGAGATGACCATCCGTCTCCAGAAGACTCAATCCCAAGAGATGGCCCGTTTCGTCAAGGAGATCGACTACGAGAGCAACAAGGGACTCGAGAAATACGACATGCTCCGCGAGGCTTCCAAGCTCAACAAGTACGTCGTCCTCGTCGACAAGGACCTCTCCAAGGACAACGAATTGGTCTTCCGTCGTCTCTTCGACCTCTTGAAGTCCGAGTTCTACATGTCTGGACAAGTCGAATCGATCAGCTCCGACTCTCGCCGCTTCAAGATCGAGGCCGTCGTCGAGCCCGAGGAGTGCCGTCGCGTCAACTTCACCGTTGAGTGCAATGGAGAGAAACTCATCGTCAAGGAGGCCTATTCCCCAATCCGTATCCCATTGATGTCCCTCGGATCTCGCGGTGTCTCCCTCAAGGGATTGAACAACAAGAGCTGGTGGGCCTCGGTCTTCATGCCAACTTCCGAGTGCGAGGTTTCCTCAAACAAGGTGTCGACCTTTGATGGACTTCTCTACAAGACCCCATTGACCACTTGCTATTCGGTGCTTGCCAAGGATTGCTCTCAAGAGCCCGAATACGTTGTGATGATGAAGAACATGGAGAAGAACTCTGAGGAGAAGAAGCTCAAGATTGTGACTCAAGAGAAGGAAATCGAGTGCGAGTTGAAGCAAGAGAAGATCGTCTGCAAGGTTGATGGACGCCGTGTCGAGGACGAGGAGGCTCTCTACGATATGGGAATCAAGCTTATCGGTTGGTTTTGAGTTGAAATTGAATGATCAATGGATTTTCAGGAGAATCATCATGCGAGATCACCATCCCAAAGATGACCATCCGTTTCGATGGATACAAGGTCGAGATCAAGGCTGACAAGCGCACTGAGAACACCCAATGCGGACTTTGCGGACATTTCGATGGACGCCGCGACAACGAGTTCCGCCGTGCCGACAACGAGGAGACTGGTGCGTGGAAAAGAAAGTGGATGGGAATTGGATAGGAATTGGAATTGAGCTGAGATGGAGCTGAATGGATTGAAGGTGTTAGGATAGAAGTTAAGCTAGGGCTAGTGGTCTAGATTCACTAGCAGTGCCTAGAAGTGATTGCTTAGATTCGTCACTGATTCATTATCTGAATTCTTAAATCATTTCTCTAATCAACCATCCTTTTCAGAGGATATCGAGGAATTCCACCGCTCGTGGCTTCGCCGTGACAACGAATGCGAGGTCGAGGAGTCGAAATTGAAGGAGAAGAAGAACTACGGAGTTGAGTCTGATGAGGAGGAACGCTACGATTCCGAGGAATCTTTCTGGAATCCCCGTGAAGATTTCGAGGAGGAGAACATGGGAGAGAAGCGATCACGCAAAATGCTCAAGAAGAACCTCAAGAAGCACATCAGCCGCAAGAACATCCGCAACGAGGAGGAGAACACCTACGGTTGGTTGAGCGGAGGGAATTGGGCATAGTCTGACTCTAAGAATAACTGTGATTCTTAGACATTGAACTACTAGTCTGAGTCACACTTGTTCCATCTCATTCCATCTATTTCCAGAGCCCGAAAACGAGATCGTGATGGTTGAGCGTGAGGGAAAGACCTGCTTCTCGATGGAGGAACAACCCAAATGCCAGCCAGGAGATGAGCTCATTGAGACCGAGAACCGCAAGGTGAAATTGGCTTGCCTTCCACGCTCGGATCGCCGCACTCGTCGCATTGTGAACGGCCTTAAGCGTGGAGAGGAGTCGATCATGGAGGAGGTGAGTGTGAAGGGCAAAAATAAAAGAACAAAAAGGGAGAAAAGGATAGACAAATGGGGAGATTGGGCTGAAGATTGCCGAGACTTACTACGTTAGTCTGCTAGCCTACTTTAGATCGAGTAAGAGTGCTTAAATAGTTGAGGATCATGACACAGTCTGTAAGTTGTTGATTGAAGAGCTTAACTGCTTGAGCATTACAATTCCAATAGACACTACAGTACTCCAATTCCTATTCCCTATCAAATATCCAATCTCCTTCAATTCCTTCATTTTTTCAGATCCGTTCCCTTCCAATGTCTCTCACCGATCGCATCGAGTTGCCCAAACTTTGCCGTGTCTACTAAACACTCATCGATCAATCCAATCCAATAACTATTGAAATGAGCTTTTTTATGTAATCATGGCTATCAAAAGCCATAATTTGAGCACCCATTCAGTGCGAATGCAATAAATTTTGATAAGCAATTTGTTTTTTTAATGTAAAACACTAGAAATGAAAAAATAAATGAAAGGGAAAGGGAAAGAAAGGTAAAGAATGAGTCTGGATTGATTCCAAAAAAGCAAAGTTGATAGAAAGTTGTTTAGCTGATAAGGAATAAGCATTTAAAATTTTGAACTAAAGGCTCTAACTCTAAACCTGGAAAGCTCTAGAATTACAGATCTTACAATTTGCAATTTTTTTTCTTAGCAAGTTCTGAATACTCTGAAAAAAATTCTTAGCAATTTCTTTTTGATTGACTAAGCTACAGTTACGTGGTACATTTTATTTTTATAGCAATCGTATTCCCCATCTTCCAGGTAAATGCTGGTTACCATCTAAAACTAATGAATATTTAACAGAAATATTTAAAGTTTACAATGAATATTTAACAGAAAGGCTCAAAAAACTTATCACTATTTATGAGCCCCATCTCAAACTATATACATTTTTCGATTTTACACTTCCCTCAGACACTTTAAACTTTGCTTTCCTTTAATCTTTATCTTTCTTTTGCTTTATTTCTGGCTGAACAACGCTACATCAATCGAGAAAACTTTGGACCCAAAAAGTTTAGCCATTGAACAGAATACGAAAAAAAAACTCATGGAAAACAGGATTTCTCTCATGGAATACAATGTCAAGGAAATCACTTTTAAAAAAAGATGACGGTTCAACTGTGTTAACAGAAAGTTCATGAGATCGTTCCCATACTTTGAAAAAACGACATTTTTCGAACAAATTCAAGTTCTTTTCTGTCAAAGAATACAATCTGTGAAAACTTCAGTCTGTTGACTTTTTTTAATAAGGGAAATACTGCTAGTGTTTCAGCTTGTAAAATGAACAATGTTTCACTCGTCCAGGTTTTTGCTTTGTGTTTTGATCTAATATGTTATCTATGTTTCTTTCTTTATTTCATTTACTTGAAAAACCGTGTTATGAACCTCTGTTCTCACCAGCCCTTTGCAATCTCTTAAGTTTAGCATAAATGTCTACAAACGCAACAGTTAGTGACTTCGATAACTACACAGAGTCTTTTGTGATGACTATGGTAAATGAAAACTAGTTGATAGTATTATTCATTCATTTCAGCTAGGATTAACTGGTGTTGCTGTTGGAATTATGGGATTGGTGGTCGTGCAGAAGAACTCATTTCTGAGAGGTTTACGGTTAAAAAGTTACATCAGCAAACCACCATAGATCTTGTGAAACATTACATTGTACTCGATTTGCTCAACCTAACCATAATCAATTCGTGTCATCTTTTATGGGGAGTGCCTTGTGCGATTTGGTGAGTTTGAAAGTGTTTGAGGTAACCTCATCCAGTTACCAATGAATTGCTAACATTAAACCAGTTTTGTAACTCTCAAAGTCCAACAGCAACAGTTTGCTCATGTACAAGATACGTGAAAATTATTGAGCGCCCCTATAAGGCTTGTAGCTTTCTTGAAAACTTATCCACGAAGATAAATTTCATTGTAAAACCATGAAAATAATCCACACAAACAAAAAAAAGTTAATAAAACTCGGTTTAACCTTCTTTTGCTCGGATGCATTGGAAGATGAGTTGGAAAAAATAGACTGTGCGCTGCAGGCAATCTTCATCAAAATCGCCTAAATCTTTCGATTAAAGCTGATATGAAAATCACTTTAAATCTTTATTTCAGTGATATTTTACATAAAAAAGATAATCATTAATTTTTTTAAAAGATTCAAATTTTGGGGCCAATTCATACGTCTTCCATTAGGCGCCCGCTCATACCGCTCGGCGCAACTCTGCAATCTTCTGTTCAATTTTTTAGCCTCTTTAGAAGCCTTATTTTGCTAAATTAAAACAAAAAACTATGAAAATATCACTGAAATAAAGATTTAAAGTGATTTTTCTATCAGCTTTAATCGAAAGATTGAGGCGATTTTGATAAAGATTGCCTGCCGACGATCAATTTTTTTCCAAGTAGTCTTCACGAGTGCATCCGAGCAAAACCTTCGGTCAAACCGAGTTTTAATCACTTTTTTAAGTTTTTGTGAATTATTTTCATTGTTTTACAATGAAAATAATTCACAAAAACATCTTGGATAAGTTTTCAAGAAAGCTACAAGCCTTATAGGGGCACTCAAAAATTTTCACGCACTCTGTACTACTAAATTTCAGGAATCTCAACGAAACCCTTCCGTTTCTCGATTATCTCTTTGCTATGCTAGCTTTTACATCAATTTCGTTAGGCTTTCCACCAAAGGTTTGTTGTTTTATAAGATGTAGAAAAAAATATTTCAATTAAAAGGAAGTTGAAGCATCGAATTTTTTGAAAAAGCAGGCAGCAAAGCCAAGATTTCAGCTTTTCCTTGGTATCAACCGTTTTTGTGCCCTTGCTTTTCGTGGACGATTCTTTAAAGTCTTTGAAGCTACAAAGATTCCACAATATTTGATTATGATAGCCTATCCTCTGGTCACAGCAATTCTCTTTTCGCTTCGTGAGTTTCAAAAAGAGTCTACGTTATAAGTAATAAGCTATTAAGGGGAGCTATTTGCTTTATTTTTTTTGCATACAGCGAAAACTGAAAAGTTTTTAAATAAGATTAGAACACAACAGCTTGCTACTGCTCGAATTTCTTTATTATAGCCGACTGTCATCCCGGTTTCTTTCCACGAGAAGGTGGCAATCTTTTCAGCGGAGATGGCCCGTGTGGCTATCGGATTCTACATGTGCAAAACGTGAGAAAGTCTTATTTATTTTCTATCTAAGTTTAGCAAATTATCACTTATTTTTACTATCCGATCAGTACCTTCTTCGACATTGCCGTATTCTTTCTGATGAGACAACGAATGAGGGTTTTTCAACGAGAACAAACACAGAGTAACTACAAGGCTGAGAATCTCAAAAAGGAGTATCGCTTGGCGGCTCAGGTGATGCGAAATCACTGTTTAGTATTGGTTTTAATTTTTAACTCATTCGAAACTTCTGCAGCGAATAATCGCTGCAGCAAAAACTCGGGAACGGACCGCTGCAGCCATTATTGACCTATTTTCGTTCAATCGATTGGTTTTTTTTTGCGGTTTTTCGGCATTACATGTATATTCAAACTGTAATGGATACATGAAAAAATGAAAAATGTAATGAAAAACTTGACGCTTGAACTTGATGAAAATAAATCTGCTTGAATTGGTTCATCATCCGATCCATCAACAGACTCTAAATCACTGTTAATAAATAAATTCTTGAAAGAATCGGTCAATTCGTCATCTATGACGATAACCTGAAAAAAAGAACTTAAATTAATCTATAAAAACTATCAGAAATAAGATAAAATGAAATGTCAGCAAAAAAACGCTGCAACGTTGGAGGGAATCTTTCAAAGGAATTGTTCAAAGGAATTGTTCAAAGACACGAATAAGTTCCCATTCGGGAAGAACTTAAAGTGCAAATCTGTTCGATAAACTCTCAATTTGTTGTAGTCGAACTTAAAGAATTAAGCACAGCTACATTCAAATGATTCAAATGATTCAAATAATCCAAATTATTCAAAGGATTGACCGCTGCAGCGGTAAAATTTCAAAAAAAGGGCGCGGTCCGCGGTCCGCAGACGAAAAAAAACGCTCCGGTTTCGAATGGGTTAAAGTAATAACAAGTAATTTAAACCGGAATTTCAGATGCTGGTCAACTTGGTCACCGGTCTCATTTTGGGTGCCTCTGTGACTGGTTCAATGACGATTTTCAACAGCAATCCATGGTTTTTCATAATCTTCACCGCTCTTTGGCAGTTGTGTTGTTTAGTTTCATGGTAATGATCGATAATTACAAGTAGTGACAAAAATTGTTTCATTTCAGTCTTTCATATGCCATTTTACTTCAAGAGCCGCGACGCCGGAGAAACGGGAAAAGGATGGTCGAGACGATTTCCAACATTAAAACGGCGCAGACTTTGTGATGTTTTTTTGTTGATATTACATACTTTCCCATGACCGATATCTTTCATTTCATCATAGTTCTTTTAAATTTTTATGTTATAGTAGAGAAATGAAAGATATCATATTTTAAATTTGAGCGCTTTCTGTGGTGTGTTGGCTAAGAACAAGTAGCTCAAAAAAACTAGATCTTTATGTTACCGTAAAATTCGCTTACCACCATGCATTTGGCTCTAACTTTGGCATTTAACTGAGAATACTTAATACTTACTACAGGGAAAATTTTAAATTAATCTGTGGTAGAATAAGTGTTAAAAAGGGATTTCCTTTAAACCTTAAAATTGGGTAAATAAACCGGCGGTGAAGGTGTGCGATTGTGGGTTCCCACAGAGTGCTTTTCAGGATAAAGTACATAAAAGCGAAAAGAAAGATTTTATTTACGTTAATTTCATTAGTCAACAATGCGTTAAAAGGAACAAAGGGCAAAACCCCGAACAAAGGGCCATGAGGCGACTGGATTTGGGAGATAAACCTAACTTTCTTTCAAAACAATCAAGTATTTTCAACTCTCGATTCAACAATTTGCAAGTGAACGAAACTTTCGATTTAACGACACCAAGAGATGCCTCCAAATTCGTGCACAGCAACCCCAAACGACTAATGATTCGGCTCGGCAGCCACATAGAGATTTGGGGCACGTCTTGGAATTTCATTGCAATTACTGACTCGTCATTTTATTTATTTTACAGGATGGTTGCAAAAGCAAGTAAAACCTGAAATTTCACTAAATCGTTAATAATAACGTCATTGTTAAAACTGGAATTGATTTACGTAGACTGCTGAATTTGACAAACAAACAAAGTTTTCTGGAAAGTTTATTTTTATTAGAAAAAATCTAACAAATCTTTCGAAGTTGCCAAGTTGTAAAAATACAATGCCAATGGTGGACTTTATATGTATTAAATGTGTCTGTTTTTTGAGATCCAAAGATATTTATCAATTATCCATTTATCAATCGTCACACTCGCAATGTCCACTTATGCCGAAGAACCAGGTAACGCACCTTCCTCCATAACAACTCCATCCATTCAGCCATCCACAGTACCATTCTCTATCACAAACATGGGCCTTCAAGTTAATGACGAGGAGAGCCAAGAGAAGTAGGGTCAAAATTTTCATCTTTTCGAATGAATAAGCGTGTCGATAAAGAAACTCTGAAGCCTTTTCTTTATAAAATTTATTTTTAAATTCTTTTAGTGAATTTAAAAGTCAATGAAGTCTAAACAAATGTCGTTTTTTTGTTTTCTTTTATTGAAGAATTGAGGAAAAGAATTTGACAAACAAAGGAATTTTCGCACGTCACAAACAGAAATGAAATTATTCAACAATTTCGAAAATTTTGAAATCGAATACATTTATCGTTTCGAAAATTAGATACAGAACATCTAAAGTCGTTGTGTTTGCCATTTTCAAACTCTGTTTGTATTGTTTGTCAATTTTTATTTGAATTCCAGAAAAAAAAATCAAAAATGCGCAACCTTTGCAAAATAATGCAAACAAAGGGCCGTTGACTATATATTTTGACCGGCTTCAGTCAACAATGGGTCATTGACATTGATTATCATTAGGGTGGTGAGAATGAAACCAGCGCTCACATATCTTTCCAAGATTGAAAGCTTCCAACCAATAAGTGTTGTATACTGTTCGAAAGTCCTGAATCACCTCTACAAAATAGTGCAAAAGGATTTTGAATTGAATTGATTATTGAAGACTTGGGTGACTTTTAAGTTGAGAGGTCACAAATGATCATTTTCTGGAAAATGTGTTTCTGGTAATAGCTGGTAATAGCCATGCCCGGGTTTTCCGTGAGAAAATACCGCCAACTAGAGTTATATGAAACTAACATAAAAGAACTCTTTCTGTTTGTTCGTCTTCTAGAGCTTATGTTTTTTCGAAAAAGCTTCATTTTGGGCCATTTTAGGCCTTCGATTTTAGGCCAACATCATCTCTGTTACTTAAGCCCGTTTACTCGATTGAGTTTCTTGCTGCCCCTAGGGACCGAAATCCTTGGGATGAATCCAAAAATTCACAGCGGCTCCCTTCAGCACCCTTTTACAGGCACTTGGGATCCCATTTCGACCGACGGAGAACCCGCCATAGTGGTCAAAATGAGCCGGAGCTGGGTTGACCAGTTCTACAGCCGAAGTTAGTTTTGGGAAGCGGTGACCACATGGGGCAGACAATGGATTGGTTACCGGATGACCCAGAATGGACGCTTCCGATTCGGAAAGTGAAAAAGGGACTATATCCATAGGCGTGATATGCCAGATCGAGCGCGATTGTGCTCGCACACAGGGGAACACACAGCGATCTTTTTTGCATTTTAAAGTTCAAAACTTCAAATTTTTGAACAGAAAAATTGTACCGGGGTTTTCGGGGTAAAACTTTTTTTATTTTTATTTATTTTTAAATTCTTTTTTAGTGAATTTAAAAGTCAATGAAGTCTAAACAAATGTCGTTTTTTGTTTTCTTTTATTGAAGAATTGAGGAAAGGGAATTTGACAAACAAAGGAATTTTCGCAAGTCACAAACAGAAATGATTCAAATATGTCGATTCTTGACTTTGAATGGAAGCAAGGAAATAAAGCAACAAAACTTGAGCACAGTTCAACATGATTGTGAACAGCTGACAAAATTGAACTTGAAGAGAGTCACTCTTTATGCCATAACTTGTTGAATCACTGACTAACTTTACCACGGATTTTAAGATCTATCTAGATCAGTTTTTAAGCTACTTTTCAAAGCCAAGGCTTCAGTGTCAACCCTTGATAACTTTTCATAGTCAGCTAATAGGTTCGGGTTTTCGGTTCAAAATTCAATATCTTTTATTTTGTGAGGTCTGGTCTTGTCAGCCGAACATCTCTGGATTTTTCTTTTCTTTTTCATTTCCTGTTTTTTTTTTGATGAGTCACCTGTGGCTATCTTGTGATCAAGAGAAAGGATGTGTAATGAACGGGCCTGGGAACAACAGATCATCAACATGCTTTGATTTCCTACTTAAGCACATTAGAAAATCATTGTTTGAGCTTATTTTCATTGTCAAATCTATTCAAAATGCAAGAAATTCTATTTCTATTGTTATTTGTTCAAGGTTAGTGATAAGTCTTCTTGCTATTTTACCCATTTTTAGTCGCTCACTCCTTTTCTGCCTCTGATTTATTGGGAGGAGTGGAAAAATTGAGTCGATCTATCAATATTCCTGCAAATATTGTATCGCTTTTTGGTGAGTTTAATCTAAAATGAATACCAATAACAGTTTTTAATATGATTCTTTTCAGAAACTTGGAAACGATGGATGCGCAGAAATCATCGACTTCAATTCGTCTCTTACCGGAGAGATTCTTCATCCTCGCCGGTGAATTCAGCGACAATAAAACGGAAAACCATCTGTGAGTCTTTAAGAATTGCATTCGATTTAAGTTTACTAATTGCAAGAATAGATATTTTATAGTTCAAAGTATACGTGGTTTCGGATCGGATCGGATAAAATCGGTTCGAATCGAGATCTAATCTGATACGATCGATTTTCGGATCAGATCCGATCCGAACTGATCCGATTCCGGGCCAGAAACGCGGCAACGGAAAGCACGTTATTATATGCTAATTTCAGTAAAATGTTAAATGCAATTCCAAAATGAAAATTCTTCAACTCAATCAACATCCAACTTAATCCTTTTGAATTTCAAAGCGATTAAGTTCAATCAAAGTCAGCTCGATGATGTTGTTGACGCCTTTGAAGAAAGCTTCAATAAAACTCTATTTAGATTGAAGCTCAGCTTTGAGTCGGAAAATGGACTGACACCACTTTCCATCACCTCCAGAATGCACAGCTTTTGGAAAAATCAAGTGTCCTTGGGTAATTTACAACAATTTCTTGATTTGATATAACTAGAAGCTAAAGCATATCACAACACCAATTTTAGCGGCTATCGAAGAAGTGAAATTCCTTAATGGAATCGTGATGAACGACACGTTGCCCAGTCCGCTAAAAGTATCATTTACTTGTAAAACATTTTCAAGTAATTCTACCATTTAGGACTCAAACCATTTTGATATTCGGATTCGTTTTCTCGAGAAACAAATCCAGGTGAACGACCTTTTCAAAGAAAAAGCGAACAACTTGTTCTAGATCTTCTTCAATCAAGGCGAAATTGGGACTTACCCCAAGCCGGACTCGCTTGCAAAGGTTAAGGTTTATAAAGGCAATGAAAAATTAAGATACTTTAGATCAAAAAGATTACATTCTGCAGCAAATATACAAAGGGAATTGGAAGCTTTTCAGGTTGACTGAAGAACATGAAGCTTTTTGTTTGCAAATTTTTTATCATTCCTTTAGATTTGAAGGGCAAACTTTCACAAACCCTTTCACGGGAGATTTCCAACCTTGGAGGGGGCAATCGCTTGGAAATCTCTTGGATTGCCGATTCCAAATGGTTGGTTTTAAACTTGAGCTATTATATTAGGTTGAGTACTATGTGTTGATATGGCTTGCTCTGCTCTTTTTAGAAACAACTAGTGCTTCATTTAGCTTACAGTTTTTACCATTTAAAAGCTCTATTTATCTTTTAAACGTAGCTTTTAACGTATTTGGAAATGCTTCCGTTTTGTGGGTTTTCAGAGAGCATGAAGTTGAGGGATCAAAGACTTAATGATACAATTTGAGCACTTTTAGCCAAAGGGAAATCTATTTTCGTGTCATAAGACAAAAAATAGAGTACAAAAGTTACGCTTATAACCAAAATTATAGCTTAATTTGTCAAACCGTTTTTAGTTTTTGTTAATTTAGACTAAAACACGAATTTCTGCTTAAATATTATTCTCAAAATGGATCCAAATTTGTTCAAAAAGATGTAAAACTGAGATAATGAACAACTTTTACTTGATGAAAATCGTATCTAAATTTCTCATAATTAAGTTTCAAGAAAGAAAAATAACATACCAACAAATAGTACTCAACCTAATAGCCAATGTGATATTCAAACTGAAAGAAATTGAGAGAAAATCTTAAAAAAGGAAGTTCTATTCTAACTGTACTTACAAAGTAATAGATCAAGGTAACCTTTAGTATTCTATTGCGGCTAAAATGCAAAAGCTCTTAATTGAAGAACGAGAAATTTGAGGACACTTGGCTAGAAAGTGAGTTTTTTTTCAGTTTACAACCAAAAATATTGATTATAGGGAAAGAATAAGAACCCTGATGTGAAAATCGATCTCGAGGACTTTTTAAAGGACTTGAAGAATGGACGAGTGAAAAGGCAGGCTGTTAGGTAAGTTGGATTGAATGATCTACAGTGTGTTCAATATTTATGGGGATTTCTTGAGCTCGCGAGGTCGTCTTGCCTCTCAAAATTGGTTTATGAAAAAACGTCAAAAGAAAGCGCTTGCATAGGAAGTTAGGAACAAACTCCGAGTTTCTAGATTATTTTTCAGTTTACTAAATTTGATATTCCCAAAGTCGATTGAACGGAACTCGATCATCAAATATCACCAAAAGGAGTCCGATCCCAGTTGTTCTTGTTTAACGATGAGAAATTCTTTACTATTTAATAGTTTTCAAATCTACGGGACATTAAAAATGTTAAAATCACTTTCAGTTTTGGTTTTAAGAAAGCTTGACGGGATTTTGTGACAAACTCAATTTATTTTGAACCTCCATACTAGAAGAGCGCTTTCCACAGGTGTTTCTAAGCAAACCACAGCGCGAAAAGGCAATCATTTTGAAAATAAGCCTTAAAGTTGTTAACGTTGGGCGTATTGATAGGTGTGTTTTTTTTAGCATAAAACTTGTACAAAATGAGGCCTAAAAACTTAGTAATCTAATGGTTTTCCATAAATATTGAACATCTTGTATGAGCTATGATTGTTTTTCAGGCAAAGCCAGATCTCCCCAAGACTTCTATGACATTTTCAAGAAACCGATAAATGTGGGTATGGCCATCCCGAGGGCATAAAGGAGTTTGGATCATTTCTCGGCGAGTCCTTGCTGCTCAGTTTGATTATCAAGGTTTGTTAGAAGCATTATGGAGTAAATTTATATATATGTTATAGTATTGTACACATTATTTAGGGTTTGTACCGTTTGAGCACAGTTTCTCTTCGATACTGCGGGTTATCTCGTCGGAGGGGATGCTTCCACTAAGGTATAATATTTAAGAAAGGTAAAACATAGGATCAATAGTTGCATAGTTAGCTCCATTCTAGCGTGCTCATGAGACGTGTACTGTAATTTTACGGTTTTATAGGTATCCATGATTGTCTGCTCAGTTTCCATCCACTTCCATTTCTAAAATCCGTAAGAAGGTTTAGTTACCGATACAAAGGCAGAGACAAAACGCACTCGAGTTGCTACAAATGTCGATGGTATTGTGAATCATGTTGCGAATCGTGTGATTACTTCCCATCAGCAAATCGAGAGGAGAGATTTCAACAAGAAAACAGTTCATGGAGGACATTAAGAGTAGCTAGATAGGGAATAAACCGCTAAGTGAGTTGATGTGTTTTTGATTAAGAGTAAGGCCAATTTAAAGAGTAAATTCACTTCCCAAGCCTTCCAAGTTCAGTCAAGCAATTTTCACTTTCAGGTGAGCGATTCGATGTGACCTTTCTTTCAAAAAAAACGAAAGGTTTTCCAGGTAAGTCCCAAATCGGATTTCAATGTCTCAAGTCTCAATGTTAAAAAATTTAATATTACGGCTTACCCATTCAATTTTTCAACAAACAATCATCCGGACAAAGCTACAACAATGGGTAACAGAAAAAGTTGAAAGATGGAGAGTTTCCGTTTCGGCGATGGAAAATGTAGGTTTCATGAGTTTTAAATTGGAAAACTACAAAACACAGCTTTTTTCAGCTTTGATCTGTCTGTTTTAAACTCCGAAGACAAATTGTGGATCTTCTTCAATGGAAAGCTTTTTAATAGCTTCAAACATGGATCACAAAACAAAAGATAAAATTACCAAGATTCGAATTGATGGTGATTTGGAAGTAGGTTAAAGGTCAAAGTACATTGATTACGCTAAAATTTAGATTCATCAAGTGTCGATGACAAAGTAACAGTGCAAGTTTAGTGGCAATACAAATTGATTCTGCGAAAAGATTCGTTAACTGTTGGTGTGAACTCGTTTGTCAGTTAAATTATTGTTTATTTCCATTGAATCGTCTGTATAAAGTGTTTAACATTGTCTCGATCACATTCGAGTAGAGAGACAAGACCAACTCTTTGACTTGGTCACATTCAGGCAGTTGCACAGCCGAGTCAACGACAAGCTATCTACTATTTTCTGCTATTTTCTATCATTTTGTTTCTGCTTCTATTCTGTTTGTTTATTGCTAAGAGAAGAATTCGACAAGGTTAAAAGAAACAGATTTTCAAAGCTGAATTGGATGAGTTGATTGACAATGATTTGACTTGAGTAATAAGTGTCAATAAAAGGTTCAAGTGACGGTAGGAAGTCAATAGCATTTCATACCAAATCCATATAATAGAGATGAAGACGAAATAGAATGCACAGCGTAGAGCCAAAATCCTTCCATCAAAGCGATCTTACCGTTTTTTTAAACGGATCCTGAATGAGGTGTATACGGACTCTGTCACATTTAGAAGGAACATTAAACCCTAAATGTTTAATTGGCGAAGTTGAGATAAATTACCATCAAATACTGTAATAATTTGCCCCAACCCCCTCGTCCAGTCGCGTCGTTTAATATTTCCTTTTTTTCAAAGCGCCCGTACTTTCAAAAATGCGTCTTTATTGTCAAAAATAGCTGAGATTCAGGGCTATTTTTGATACCTAAACTTACAATGTATAAACTAGTGTCGAGAAAAACTCGTTCAAAGCTAGACTACGCAACACTCCACACCGTCATTATGGGGGTGGAATGCTTATCCAATATTTACGGTATGCTTAGAACTCAAATAGTTTGACTAAAAGTACATAAAGTCAGTATATTAATCATTAAGTCAACTCACCAAATAAACCGTGACAACTGTATTAATGTTCGCTGTTTGAAGAGAATTGCGCAGATGCCGACAGAGCAGACGAGATAGGTAGAGAAATTCGATGTTCGCTATCAACGTTTGGATATTTAAATGGATCACTTCCGCCCCCGGCAAACCTAGCTGAACGACCTTTTACGATTAAAGTTTTTCAAACCGTTCCTTTCCTGGATGACGCCAAGACCAGAAAATTGTTTCGATTTTTTCCGAAGCAGATAAGAGACAAATGAAATGCCGCAAATTGATAATCTACATTATTGACTGAAATATTTTGAAACCTTATGGATATTTCGAATTTTAACCAGGCTGATTGCTGAGATTTCTAAATCATTTTGCATTAGGTTTCTATAAATCCATGCATAGATATGATCGTAGGTCCTTCGAGCTGACGTTTGCTGTTGAGCAGGGTTTTCAACGTTGATTGTTGAGACATCAAATATGGATATCTGAAATTTGGTCTTGTTTCTTAATTCATTCTTTTAGAAACTCGCTCTATCTCTTAGATTAAAAGTTAGAAGAGTTTAAGGTATGAATTTGGTGACAATCTTTAAACATGTTATATTTAAAGAATAGATTTTATATGGGTACGACATTATAACGTTATTACTCCATGTTTAAAAATCACAAAGAACTTACCTGAACTATTCGTATTCCCGTCGTTTCTTCTGATATGAGCTCAACATTAGTTTAGGAAGCGATAAACAAAAGGTTGATGAGTGAACTAACAAGAAGATTAAAACAAAAATTAAAGCACTTTCAAAACAAAAATATTTGCTTTATTTTTCATTGAAATTGTTCCTAGGTTCAAAAATACTGGTGATAAGCTTTGTACTCTTTAAGTGGTTAGACGCTTTTTGCATTTCAATTAACATTTTGTTGATCAAGACTCTTCTAAAACTTTCTTTGAAAATGTTATTTTTAAGCTTCCCCTGCATAATTGTTTTTAAAGTTTTATATACACTTTACGTTTTTGAAAACCAGTGTACAGTTTCGATAATCAGTTCAGTGAATGTAAAAGTTATGCAATAAAATTAGCAAAGGAAATTCTCGAGAGATCGAGAACCAAGTTATCAATAGCATTTATGACAAAGATTCAAATATTGAACGTGTTGCATGACAAAGTAAAGAATAGCGCTCATCCAGCATAACTCCATCACAGTGTTACCATTGTCTCATAAAGGGCATGATATTGTTGATGGTAGGAGTTGAAAATATGGTAGAAGCATATGAGCGAGAGTCAAGAGAATCGCGATTATCTAAAGTCAATGTTTTGCCACTTCTTGTGAACATTAAGTAAACCTTATCCATGTTTTTTGTGTTACTGAATCCATTAAAAATTAGTTAAGACTGCATTTGATTCCCGAAACATTTTAAAAGTATCTGTTTTAGATCTGCTTTCCAGTTAGCTTTTCAAAACCTAACCAAGTAAATCATAAGAAGCAATCAACAGTCTTGGCTTCTTGAAGATCACCGCTTGCATGCCAATCAAATTGAAAGAATATTGGTGAGTAGGATCCCAGTTCCAATAATTTGTATGAACCAATTCAAAGTGATTTTTGTGAAGACTCCTTCTAACGGTCTAAAGTTTGGATCTAAAAATCCCGAGAGTTAATTTGTTTTTTTCTATCTTTTGCAAATTGTAGATGAACCAAAAAAGTGATGTCCTCGAGGCAGAAAAGTGTTGAGAAGATGAGCAAGAAGATCTGAAAAGTGATACTGTATTGCTTACACAGTTAACCGTGCCCCCAGTTTTCCCATTCTTAGCCCAATCCGTCTTTTGCGTTTACTAAATTCCCTTTAAATTTATTCGAAAATGATGAGTTACGCAGGAGTGATGCAAGTCTGGAGGGAACGTGTTTGGGATTTCACCTCTCATGGAAGAATTGGATCCGCAGATACTTCTGTTGGGATCTGAATGCTTTGAATATCTAAATTGCAAGCATATAGATTACATACGCCTGATTATATCTTGCTACGTCCGATTTTGAAACCTTTTACCTTCGAAACCTCTTTTTACCTAGAAAAGTCATTTCCTGAAGAATTTTATTACATTTTTCGACCAAATCTAGTCAAATCAAATACAATTCTAGACTTTTTCAGCATTTTAGTACCTTTAAACTATCGAAATGACGTCCATTTCATTCATTAATCGAATTTCAAACAATAGTTTATCAAAAACATTACGAAAAGTAATGCATTTTTTTTCATTTTTAAAGAAACTTGTGGAAAAATTATAATTTGTTTAGTAATCTAGTGATTCTAATGCAAAAACATTATTCTGTTAAAAAGGTTTCAAAGTCAGACGTAACATACCGGGTGTTCAGCAATTATATAAACTCACCGATATGATGGTCTTATACCGTCAAAAACCAAAAAAAAGTCGAAATAGTAAATTTTTATTGATAACAACTGATTCAACAAGGTTGAATCACTTATTCTCAGAAAGATCACCATTGGCGGCAACACAAGCCTGAAATCGCTTGGGAACGCGTCAGACAGGTAGGTCACGTCACATCTAAGTCATCCCACGCTTTCTGTAGAGGCTTTCTTTTGAAAGTCGATCGTTGGATAGGTTTGCGTTTGGTTGGGCTTTCGGAGGTATTATATCATTTTGTTTGTTGATAAATTGCTCAATTTGAGCATCTTTTCATCCGAGAACATGATGTTACAATGATCAATTCCGTTGAAACGGATCAGCAACTGATTAGCACAGTTTCTCGCTTTTTTGGCTGTCGCAGTGAGGAATTGCCCTTTTCATCTGTAGGCTTTCATCTTGGGTTGCTTTTTTGATAATCCGTGTTTATCGAACCAGCAAATCTTCCCCCGCTTTTGCGAACTTGCGCTAAGATTGCACTTACCCTTGTTAAGGTGCGCTCGCATATCTCTTGAGTTCCCTGTTGTGACCGCGGTTGGGTTACTTCCCTTCTCAGGCGATCTTGGTTGTTCCCCAAGATTTGTAGCGATTAATCATTACAGAAACAAAGCTATTTTTAACCATCCAAACGGACGTGAAATTTCGAACTGCCGGATTCCTTTCAAATGCAAGTTGACGATTGATTGCAATGTTGGGGTTTCTTCATTTTCTAAATTTGGAAAAAGATTGTGAAGGAAATCTTGTGAACAGAACATAAAACAATAGAAAAAGCACACCTACCAAAAATCTATCTTTAGTTGTGAGTGTATACTGTTCTTTATTAAGGAAGGCCCTGGTTCACATAATTGTTGAACACCCTGTATAGACAAATTTAATTATCTTATTCAAGTTTATCAATTATTCTATTCATTTTGATCATCTTGATACCTTAACACCGAAATCCCGAGGGCAAATCATAAATATGAAGAAGCCGGATCATTGTGATGAAAATTATAGTCAGCTGAAACACTAGAACTTGAGGAAAATCGGAAATTTTATCAGCTTTCGACCTTTTTTGTTTACTTTAGTTGCAGTTCGGCTGTTCCACCTTTTCGTGATAAGTGTACCTTTTCCGCACGGCGAGGGGTTTTCCTGACCCGGATCCTAGTAGCGAGGGTTGACGTTGTACTGGGATTGATTCTCACGTTGTGATTTACATGCTGCGTTTTATGAACTATTCCAGGCACTTTTGTTTCATCAAAGCTTAGAATTATGAATTGAGCAAAAACTTTCATTGGCAGTTTTTATATTAGAGTTTGTCAGATGCTAGTAAATACAGCAAAGATAAAAATGAAATGGAATGGAAAAAGGTATTGAAATTTAGATAGGGGTTTGAGTGGGGAAGCGGTTTTGTGCAAGAGTTGCCCCTTTCCTCGCCTTCTTTGTTAAACAATGTCGTCCAACTGAAATTTTGTTAATGAAAAGCTAACTAAAGGAGGATTCTCAATTAAAATCAAATTATCCCGGCGTACTTAAAACCCTACAACGTTCTTATTACAACAAGTGATGTAACAAGAACATTTTCAGTCGATTTGCCGACCCGAAATCTAAGGGTGCAAATTTACAGCTCGTATCTCCTTAGCTAGGATCATTTACAAAGCAAAAAAGAATCTCTGTTTGAATCACTGTTAAGGTGTTCTTTGTGCGCGCCCACAATCGCTCTCCATCTAGCAAACCGCTCTGGTATATAAGGCTTCCCTTTTGGAATGAAGGAGAGCGATGAGTGACAAACCTGCCGGTTCTGAGGGCTTCACTATACTTAAATTTTTTGAGGAGAATTTTCATATAGATTTGACTGTAATTCCCCATCAATTCTACAAGCTGTTAACAATCTAGATGATGTTTTTTCTAGATTAGAATCGATCTCCAAATCAGATCCCCAAAAAGTTCTTTCGATAGCCAAATACCATTCTTGCAGTAATCATTTCTCTTTCCAGCAAACCATTAGCGCCCGAGTCCCAAGGTTTCATCAGCAGCATTCACAAGGGAGTTCGGTGGTGAATGGGGTCCCATGATCCCGAGCGTAAAGCTAAATATTGAAGTTAAAAGGTTTTGATATAATACTGTCACAAAAGTGTCATTGTCATCCTTAAAAACTTTTTATGATTAATCCCTTACCTTCAACGTCTTGCCAGCCTTGAGAACAGTATTTTCTGGAAAGCATAGTTGATGTATTGATTGTTATCCAATTTTCGTGACACTTTGTATCCCACTTAGGTCTTCATCCTAAGAATATCAACAATTTTGTAAAGTCTTTCCCAAACCCTTGCTTCCATGGTGTTTTTGGAGGGAGATAAAAAGGGGTACCATCGTGCCAGTCACGATCACCGAATGTTACATTACCGTGTGCTGATCTGGAAGTGCTAGTGATAAACTTGAAAATAATTAAAATTGATGGCTAAAAGATAGGCTTATTTGGCTAAATTTGTACTCAAACTTAAACCAACCGATGAAAGCGGGTCGTCGTTCGGATCTCATTGCTGCTATGGCTCTCATTTTCCTCCACAGTGCTTCTCGTAGCGACTTTTTCAGCATAAATGCCAACACTGAAATTCTACAAGTAAGAAAATGATAGCATCTTTTAATAGCTTAAACTAAAGCTTAAACTAGTTAGCTTACAACGCTCGAAATCTAAAAAAGATACCTTTACTATTAGGTTGGTGAATGAGACTTTTCGTTTCTTTCTGTACTTTCTTTTTAAAACCAACGAATGAATTAATTGAACTACTGATTGTTTCATTAAAAATACCAATTATTTTTCTACAAAATAACATAGAACGGGTTTGAAAATGTCTTGGGTTTGAATTTTTTGCGAGCGTGAAGTCGGGTAGTCAAAAAAGGACTGCTCGATGATACGGTTTAGACATGTTCCAGCTAAGAAAACCTGTCTTAGTGCCAATAGATAAAAGATAGAGCACAAAAAGTTTGGTATATAGCAAAATTTTCAGAGAAATTGATTTCTTCAATTTCAATTTCTTTGTAGAGGTTTTTATAGAAAAACACGTTTTCACTCTCGAATTTGCGCTGAAAGTTAATCCAAATTGACTTAAAAAAGATGGCAATTAAACAAAAAACACTTTTTATTTAGAGGGAAACCATAGGTTAATTGATGAATTTGTTTTTCAATGGAAGTATAAAAAAGGAACAAAAGACTATTATAATATTTTAAAGTTGCAATATTTTTAAAACTTTTAAAATCCTAATATTTTAAACTTGCACTCACCGGCTCTCCTCACCCTCCATCATCTTTCTGTAAATGGCAATCTCAGCGTCCAGAATTTGTTTGGTAGCCAACAACTCCTATAAATCTTTTTGGATGAACATATTAAACAGAAAAATACATAATTTAAAGCATTGTAAACAAACCTGGAGCTCGATATGAAATCTTTGTGACTCTTCTCTCAGTCGGCGCAACTCTCTGTCACGATAATTGATGGCATCCCTCGTATTGACGATGGTCATCATCGAGCTAAAGATGAATTTAAAACTTATTTTAAAGCATAGGTAAATGCAAAACAATACTATGGTTTCTTTTTAAGAACTCCAAGCTCAGAAAACTCACTTGACTATGGAGCGTTTGTGCTTCTTTCTCAAGACGAGCGTTCTTCTCCTCCAAATCGCCGAGTTTTCCGCGCATGTCAGCCATACTGTGACGCATTCGAGATACCTAATGAGACGTAGATTTGAAAAAAAGTTATTGTTTCTTTTATCTTCTTTTTTGCTTTCTGATACTTACCTCTTCGCGCTGATGTCCGCCCTCGGAAACCACGCGGTTTTGCGGACGATTGCACTTCAGAGACCTAAATGGAATGGATATAGCTATTTATTACTATATATTCTAGTCCTCCCTTCATTATATTATAAAATGAGTATCAAATCATCAAATAACCTCCGGTTTGCTTCCGAATGTTCATCATTACTTTAAGTTTTTTTCAAGCAAATCTGAGATCATTTCAAAACAAATTTGAGCATAAATTTTTGTTTTCTCTCTAGATTTTCAAAAGAATTGCAAAGTTGGGAATGGTCAAATGGATTCAGCTAAGATTTTGACTATATTCCTAACTTTCTGTGCTCTTTCTTTTCCTGTTGACATCAAAGTAGATCCTGTGGAAGAAAGTGCTCAATAGTAACTTCGGGTTGAAATCATTTTTGGTTCAATGACTTCTGCTTGGCTTAAATCGCCAAAACTCAAACGGAAAAAGGCTTCAAGCAAAGCCTTTTATACAAAATTTCTAGATCTACCCTCTAAAGTCTGAGTTATTTGATGATTTGATATTGATTTTATAAGATAATAAAGGACACTATTGCATAGTACTCAACAAAATAGTTTCATCAACTTTATCTGATAGACTGTCTTGACTAGCTTGGCACGAGAACATCAAGTTCAAGAACCCAAGTTTCGACTTTGGATCTGGAGCAGGGAGTACTGGTGCTGGACTGTCATGGCTAACTGACCCATGAATCCATATTTTCAATATTGCACAAACCCAGAGCTTGTACCAGCTCTCCATATCTTGTTTGCCTTGAGTCGCGATGAACTCGTACTCGTCCTTGATGTCACTGAAAAGAATTTTTGGCAAAGTTAGTTACTATTCTTTCGGAAATTACAAAATTATTAATCTGATCCAGATCTGATTCTAATTCTGATACTGATTCTGATTAATCAAATCAGAAATTTTTCCGAACTTGTGACCTACTCTTTGAAAAACATACCGAATCGCCAAAGCCAACTCGTTCTTAAAGAACTCCCGAGTTTCCGCCGGAGCCTGGGACAACAAGAATTGCAATTCCTTGATCTCTTGTTCGTGAATTCTGAAAATAAAATACAAATTAATTGCACCAACTTTGTTTTTTAACCAAAATCACAAAGCTAACCTGCGAAGGAACTCGAGTTCTTCCATTAGAGTCTGAACTTGATCTTGGAAACCGATTCGGCCAGTCGTTTCTTCGTCCAAATCCTAAATTTTCAGCATTTGCTTTAACTCAAACCAACAAGCGAACTATAGAATCATGAAATAATGTAAAAACAATCTTGCCAAAGCACTTACGGCGTGCGCTTTCTGCACTTCATCCCAGAGTCGAGCATTTTCCCCGTTGAGTCGTTTCTCTTCGTCGTTCAACTGCTTGTATCTAATGTTTCATTTATAGCGGCACTGTTTCATTTTCATCTAGCTTTCATTTCAAATAGTTTTTGGAAAAGTTCAAACCTGGCTCTAAGCATCTCAAGCTCATTTTGTGCATCAGCAATCGCACTTGTCCATTGCTGGTACTTTCCCTTTTCGCTTTCTTGTCGACTGTGAAGCTCGTCGTATCTGAAATTTCGATTTCAAAAGTTCAGGAAATCTTTGTAAGTTGACTTAATACTTAAGAAACTTCAGAGTTTGCTGTACGCTACAGCTGTTTGCTGTAGCTATACTTCGTTACAGAGCTTGATCCGAGTGGCTTAGTTACCCTAAAGTTCTACACTTATTCAGCAAAGGAGTAACGCTATCTCGTTTTTACAAGTACTTGAATTTCTAATCCTTACAAAAGGGATCTCCACTTCAAACATTCCCTCACCGTCCTCTATATTCATCCAAATCGTCTCTCAAACGAGCCACTTTCACGTCAATCTCGGCTTTCTGTCTCGCCGCATCATCGATGTCCTTTCGAGCTTTCGACAGAGAATCAGTATATTTCACCTAAAATCCAACTTTATTATTATTTTTATCAAATCCAAAATCGATGGTTTTTCCGGAAGATTCATATGCTTTTTGTTTGAAACAAAAGGGCTTTGCTTTCCCTCCAATCCCCCATATCAGCAAGTGGCATCCCCAGCTCTTTTTCCAACTTTCTCCCTCCATGAAAATCGCTTCTTTTGGGATTTTATTATGAGTTCTTTATCGCGAGTCAAAGATTTTTGTGTGGAATGTGAGTTGTAGAGAATTTTGGGTGCGGAGTCAAGCCTTGAGGTACTATAAAGCTTGAGGTATGTTTGTGAATCCAGTTTATCCGGATTCAGTTCCGGTTATCCGGTTTTTTCAAAAATTGACTTCATACCTTGATAGCTGAGGTGTCTTTTCCCCATTGACCGCGCAATTGATCCAGCTCTTCGACGAGTCTTCTATTTTGATCCTCCAATCTCTTCACCCGACCAATGTAGTTTTCAAGGCGGCCGTTTAAGTGCTGAAAGCTTTGTAGGCATTGTAAAAGTTCAAGCAATGATAGTTTATTAAAAATCTATTATTATACTAAAAGGAAATCCAATTACAGTATTAAACTTTCTCACCTGCAGATCTTGTTTCTCTTTCTCCGTGGCCTCAAGGAAACTCTTCGCGACTTTGTCCGACAAAGCTGTTGTTGCCATCGCCGTTGAACCCATTTCGGTCACCATTTTCAACACTCGGCCCCCTTTTAAAAACCGACTTGTTGGGGATTTTTTTGTTATATTGTTCTGCAACTCACTTCCTTCTACAAAATAACATTAAAACGGATCTAAAATGTCTTATGTCTGGATTTTTCTGGGAGTGTGAAGTCGGGTAGTCAAAAAGACGGCTTGATGATGCGATTTAGACAATTTAGCTAAGGAAATCTATCTTAATGTCAATAGATAAATGATAGAGCACAAAAATTTTGGTAGATAGCTAAATTTTCAAAGAAATTCATTAAACCAATTTCTTCCTAGAGGTTTTTATAGAAAAACACGTGTTTTCACTTACGAACTGAAAGTGAACTGAAATTGATTTAAAAGACGGCAATTAAGCAATAAACACTTTTTATTTAGAAGAAACCATATGTTAATTGGTGAATTTGTTTTTCAATGAAAGTATGGGAAAGAAACGAAAGATTTTGTTGGAAAGCCTGATACAAAGGCTACTGCCAACAAGTTTTTAACCTATTACTGTTTTTCTTGATATTCAATAAACTCACTTCCTCCAACACCAGTACTCCCTCCCTCGAGATCCAGTATAAGTCGAGACTTGGGTTCTTGAGCTTGATGTTCTCGTGCCAAGATGACCCTGCATGGGTGTTCGGGGACTTCTCGGCGACTCAACATAGCTCACTCGAGCTCCTTGACCAATAGCAGAAGTTCCATTGTAGGTGGCTCCTTGTCCAATACTCGAACTCGTTAACGATGATCGAGTCGATTGGGAAGAGGAGGTTTGTTTCGAAGCCGTTGAGGTGAACATTCAATCGGTTGTTTGCCTAGAAAAGAATAGGGAAAGCAATGAAATTGAGAAATTGAAATTGAGCAATTTATTCTCAATTTAAATAAAACAAGAATTGAAATCAATAGATAAACTAATTGGTTGGACAGAATTGGCACATTTTTAGCTCATATTCATTCTAAAGTTGGTTAATAACCCGATGCCAAATCATTGAAAAAGTAAGTTGAAAAATAAACGATATAATTCATCAAAGAAAGTCATCCAAAAGAGTTAATTAACGAAGGTTTTTGACGATCACTCTCGTTTGATTGTTTAGCGAGTTTGTAAGAATGGTTTCTTCCCATATCTTTCTTTTGAGAATTCGCTTTGAGAATTCAAAGGGAAATCTTTATCAGCAAGTGGGCATTGGCAAACCATGCCTCTTCTTCCAAAAATTGAAAAAGGGGGAGTGCCATAAATCGAGGCAAAGCCGATTTGATAATGGAGAAACTCTATTTTTGATTGAACATCGGCCCCAAAATTCCAGAGTAAAGAATAATTGGAGTGGGCGAATAATAAGCTTTGGGTTAAGGGGTCTGAGTCATTCAATAATTTTCTGTTAGTTTAAGTCTGAGTTTAGAGACATCAGAAATGAGACATCAAACATGCAATTGATCACAAAATTTTACAACCTCTGAATATATTGAAACAAAAGAAAACCTCGAGATGAAAGTTGAACTTCAAGCAAAATGAAGTTTCCAGTCTTTCTTTATCAAGTACCAATTTTCACTTTCAACCTCTTTAGATCTTTTCCATTTATTTAACAAGTAAAGAAGACCAACTAGTCAAGAATTCTTGTATAGTTCAGAGTTGGATAGACACAATCAAATGTCAGCTCTGAATAAACAAATTTACAGCTTTTCTAGCTTCTTTTAGAGCTGGTTTTTATCTATCACATTTGGTTTTGTCTTGAATGCCAAACTTTATTGAAATGAAATGAAATTGTAGTTAATAGGAACCCAAAGGAAATTTCAGTCTTCCGTCAAATTTAGTAGCAGACAGCGATCCCTTCTTGATTCGTTGAATTTATCGTTGAATCCATGCACACGACAACAGGTATCAACAGCTCCTCCGGTCTAGAAATAAGTATTCTGACAGTTTTCTTTAGTTTTGATTCAGACATTTTTAAATCTTTGAGTTTTCCAGCACTCCTATCTGTGGTTTCATTAGAGAACTGAGAACGTCAGATTAACTCAAGCTCATTATCAGCTTAGTCAATCGAAGTGAAAGCTGAACTTAAAGTTTATGCATTTTTTTGATTATCTTTAGCAAATTTAAAAAAAGTAAACTTGAAAGTATTCGGACGATTTTAGAATTCTGCAGAGTTTATTTTGCCTTATCGACTCTAGCTCTGAGCCGATTGACAAAAGACGAGAGAACGATAGAGGAACAATGAGTCACCCCTTCAGAGTAGACTAACATTTGATCCCAAAGGTAAAAAGAAATACATGGATCACTAAAAGTAAGCTTTCCTGAAAAAGCATTACAAATCAAATGTGATAACGAAGCCTCAGATCTGCCGCTTTCTTCAGGGGCGAAAAAGAGAGAATCTATTTGCAAGTTGAGGCTGATCTATCGTCAGTTATTACAGTGTTGCAAATTTGTTCAACTAACAAATTATTATCAAAATGGCTTTGCAGTTAAAAAAGTGATGTTTGACTTAATAGTTATACGGTGCATTTCAAATTCTTAAACGCCCCTCTAAAATAGCGAATTTTGCATTTTGAACACCGCTACAACTATTAATCTTTTTCTATTAGAAAGAGCATGTCTTAAAACCTAAAAAATACGAAAAATAAGCATACTGAAAAAAGTAAAAATTTTTGCTAAATCAACCATTTCAAATTCTTAAACGCACCCACCTTTGCTGTTGTTATTTGAAATTTTTCGCTTTGTTGTGCCTATTTTTTATTAAATTATAATTTTTGTTAATTTCCAGGTAAATGTCACACGGATTATGAGAAAAGCCATAATGTGTGCATTCACGAGCAAGAGTGACATCAATAAAGCCCGGATATGTAATCGATAGAGGGAACCTCTACCGAACTGTAGATGTGGGTTGTGCTTTTTGTTTGATTTTTCAAATGACAACTGCAGGTGGAAAAAGGTTTCATGAGCCGGTGAAACGAAGTGGTCCGATGCTGAGCTGTAGTCTTTTGGTCGCTCTGAAGATGGTTTCGAATCGGATGACTAGATAGATAACTTGAACAATTGCTTGTTGCCGTTTTTGTTCCTAAATCCAACCGTTCCCGATTTGTTTCAATACGACAACGCGTCAATTCATCAAGCCGGAGACACCCGAGACTGGCTGAACAACAACAACATTGCAACTTTGGACTGACCCGCTCGTTCTCCTGACGTCAATCCGATAGGGAATTTATGCCGAATACTTATACAAGCTGCCTACAAAAATCATCGTCGGTTTCAAGACGTCTATTTATGCCTAAAACAGCGACCCGTTTGGCCTGAAACTATCTCGACGTCTTTGCTTTTCAAAACCTCATCAATTCAATGCCAGACTGCATTTTTCAAGTAATTAATCGTTCTGGTGCGTGTACAGATTATTAGTTTTGATTTTTTACCTTTGATTGTTAATTTGTGTCGATAAATAAAAATATTTTCATAGTGCGTTTAAGAATTTAAAACGATTGAGTTACCAAAAAGTTTCTATTTTGAAAATTTTTACTTTTTTCAGTATGCTTATTTTTCGTGCTTTTTAGGTTTTAAGACATGCTTTTTCTAATAGAAAAAGATTAATAGTTGTAGCGGTGTTCAAAATGCAAAATTCGCTATTTTAGAGGGTGCGTTTAAGAATTTGAAACGCAGTGCATGTCTAAAAAATAAAAACAAGGAACTCTAAATTTTTAGCAGAGGTCAAGATCCTGAACAAAATGAAGAAAATATAACGTGGGGTGACAACGAGCACAAATAATCAAAGCTAATTCAGTACAACCTTGAATTTTCTACATTTCTAAAAATGCAATAAATTTCTCTAATGACTTTCCCTGTGCATATTCGCCTTCAATCAAAGTATGACTTGTACACATTGAAATCAAAGTTTCAAGAACTTAAAGAATCTTTACCATAATTTGGAGTAGAATTAATAAAAACAGACATTATTTAATGATTCCTATCTTTGAATGTAAAGAAATTACTAATTCAACCGAATTCTACATCGAGGCCATCCGTCATTGTCAATCTTTTGGTGGAATTCCTGCAAAAATTCAAAACTACTTTGTTGTTGGCCTTTTAACCTACATGTTGGCCTTTTGAATTCGTGGCCAGTGATATTCACAATCGAAATTCTCCGTTTAATTCCTCGTGGTTTACTCAATATTTCTTTCATCGACAATGAAGGAAAAGTGTTAAGAACAGAAGAGTCTCGAAGTTTTTATGTTAGACGGGATCAATCGACAAGTGACGCAATATTTCTTACCCGAGAGCCATAGTAATTTGGGTAAGAAAGAGTGTAGTTGTTAATTTGGACTTGTTAACTTTATTGACTATTGTTCTTTATTTGAGCTTGTGTTTTAGTTTGACTAAAGTTTGGGCACAGTGCTCAATACTAGTAAACTTACAAACTGTTAGCTTACAAGCTTAAAACTTATAAAGAAACTCAAAAACTGTTAGCAAAAACTAAGAGACAGGGAATCATTGGTTTTTGCAGATCAACTGGACACCGTCGGATCCACCTGCGAATATCAATGAAGAAGTTTTGCTTTGTGTTTATGCTGAGAAGGTCCGAAACATGCTGAAATCTCCAACAATTCTATATATATATGGCTAATTCTATAAAATTTCCCTATTGACTCTCACTTTTATTACTATTTTATAGTTTGAAATAAAAGTTTCGACGAATATAATCTTCAGATTATATTCGTCGTTCGAAAAGCGTTTGAATTATGCTTGAAACACATTGGACACACAGTCTAGCAACACCTTAGAATATTTTTTCGAGCAAATAAAGACGACTGGTCTTTGTTGCAAAAAGAAGTTTCTCGAAAAAACTTGCTATCAGCATCAATGAGTCGGCATTAAACCGACCATTATCCTCGGATTATCTCGATTGTCGGACCATTTTCGCGGATTGTCTTGAAATGCGAAAAAACAAGGAACGTAAGAACTGCGACGGTTTTTATTATTTATTTTTCAAAAAAAAGCTTTAAAGAAAAGTTTTTCTGTTGAGTTTTTCTAAAAATTCAAATACTTCTTTCATTGTTTTTTCTTTTTTTATGACTACGTTCCGCTTAAGAGTTTTTTTTTGCGACAAAACCATTTTCCCTTTGCCTTTTCCAAAGAACTTTGGTTTAGACTAAACAATCGAGTTATGCATCGATTTACCTTTCAAATCCAACTTTTATTCTTGCTGGTTTTATATGGATTTTGTGTGAGAGATTTGCAATTAACCAAAGAAAATCCATCTTTTGCCGTTCATGGATGGGAATTGGCGAACGAGGTAGCTAAAGCTAAAAAGCTAAAAGCTAAATCTAGCTAAAAAAAGCTAAAAAGTTCTCGTCATTGAATAGAGTCGAACTGAAATTTCAGCCAGTCAAGCTCAACGCACCGAACGACACTCTTTTCTTGGTCGATTACTCAAAACTGAACTGTACCATACTGCCTGATCAGAATAAAGAGGTTTTTGCAAGATCTGACCAAAATGAATTCCGTTCGAGTATGAATTCGAGTACAATCAAGTAATTTAGACAGGAACTGATGAACGAGTTCCAGTTTGTGCAGATCCTCTTCCGTTCACTATCAATAACTGGATACCGGATTATCATAGGTGCACTAAAGCTAGGTGGGTTTAAAAGAGAAGATCTTTGCTTTTGATCGTTTGTCTTCTTGGTTTAAGCATAACAAAAGAAGCCATTTTATATCTACCAGCATCTTTTGCTTTAGTCCAATCGGTGGCAATTTCGAGTTCATTCTTGTCACTTGTCATTTTGAAGTCAAAGTCGACACGCTCCTTATCCAGCTGACAT